TTTTTTTTTTTTAATGTTCAGATTACTCTATTGATGAACGCGTTACATGTCCTTGCTTATAAATGTAATATTTGCAAGCCGATGTATTAAAATCAGTTTGAGCTGTTTACGAAACTGAATGAAGCAACGTTGGAATCATCACCGTCATTAAAACTCTCATCAAAACAGGAGCCGACAAAAGCAACCAAGGCAAGAAGTGATTATCGACCTGAAGTTAAGAATCAACCCAACATGGCTCAACAACAGCTTGTCGTTTTTGGCCCTGTCGAGGTGATGTAGTTTCTTTATACATTGTAACGTTTTTAGTTTTAGATTTTTGCATGAGCAATATCGTCGCTCATAATAGAATGTGTCTTGTTGTCTGTAGATCTCAGTAGCTTCTTCTTTAGACACCTGTTACACAGACAATTAACACGCCAAGCAGTGATGCTATTACAATAACATATGCTCCAAATATGAAGGAATGCGAAACTTTGTTGCAAAACGTCCTTTCTCAGTCTGGTATGGGAGCAATTGCTCAGCCGAATCTCGCGAGTTTAGCAGATGCTCTAGGGTTCAGTTTCCCTGTGCACAAGGCATTCAATGGAACTGCTACAGCAAACAGTACGTTTTTACATTAAACCGCTCTTTTTATTAAATCTACCTGAAAATTTCAGGCTATTCTCCTCCTACTTTTGGCAGTTGTAAATCTAAGTACTATTTCTTCCGCAAAGAAGAACACTGTTGCGGATTACGCAAATATTCACGGAGCGAGCGCTGCTGCCCGGAAATTTATTATTCCCCTACCAGTCGCTGCGTACTATCACAGGAAAGAATATAAAAGAAGTAAACATTTAATTTTTGTTTCAATGATTTTTAAAAAATAGTGGTTGGTTTTTTTGCGCCACATTTAGTGAAACTTTTTATTGAAATCTTTTTAGCTTCATTACCGTCACAGATTCGCCAACCAACAGCAAACATAAATTCTCCAGGCACTACATCTGGCGATGACGTTGAAAGTAA